ATTGTTGCAAGAGTTTCAAGGATTCACAAAGTAACTGTATTTCTTCTTCTCTTTCCCACTTAACATTTGGCAACTTCAGGGATTTAAGCACATAACAGCCGGCACCCCTTCCATATACATCATGATACCGATCATCACCTCCATAAAGAGAACAGAGAGAGTTCAGAAAATCTGCTTTTTCATAGAGTTTTCTCCCACATTTGTCTGCACCTCTGCAATCTTCATCATTAGTTTTAGTTAAAAAATAACGCTGTAGATCAAAGAGATCTCCACTGATATCCAAATGCCACAGATTTGAACAATTTGAGCTGATCAGCCGTATCAATGGTCCATAAGCCATATTCTGAAGGCTCAGTGTTGTTAGACTACCAAGAAAAGGCTCACACTCTATTATTGCAGGAAGGAAAACACTCTTACTCTTTTCCTCTACCATTTCTAGAATCTCACTATCCATTAATACCTTATCAATAAGATATTCAACTATGGCTCTATATAAATAATTTGAAATGGGACTTATATTCATTACAGACACTTTTGAGCTTAAAATACTTTTAAGAATTAAGTGAAAACGATACCTGATTCTCTTTATCCATGACCATCTGTCATTAAGAAACTCCTCTATCTCAAATTCATTAACCTGAATTAAAGTTAAATTGCTGAGCAATCTATTGAATATTTCATTAAGAAATACAGGGGGAATAGTCTTAATATAATCTGTTACGATACCCTGAAAATGTCCCCGTTCGTCAAAAGCATCTCCCAGGTCAATCAATTCCTTTGCATTTCTTAGAAGATACTGTGGGAACTCTCTTAACATGTGAAGAAATTTTTCTTTGGTTCCTGTTAATATATCATATGAAGCATCTACTACACTATTACCAATCACAATCAATTGTTCTATATTTGTACAAACTGCATTTAATGACAATTCAAGGAGACTCTCTGTCTCCATACGTGCTGGCATCTGAAAGAGAGAAATTTGGTATCAATAAAAAAAAAATAAATAAATAAATAATAATAATAATAATAAAGAAAAAAAGAAAAAACAAACAAACAAATCCCATGTTTATGTATTAACTAGTGGCAGCTCGTGGAAAATAGAATTAAAGGATTGTGTATGGGCAGCTGATAACAATTAAAAGAAATAATTTGTAAAAAAGAACAAAAAAACAAAAACAAAAAAAAACAAAAAATTCTGTAATAAACATACTGGAAAATAACATATGAAGGCTTTTTATGATGATAAATTTGTTAGCTACACATTATTTTACTGTGAAGAAGATGGATTCATACACATGGCAGTGAGTGTCTGGGGAGACTGCAGCTCAGCAGCTCTATAATTGATACTGGATAATAACCCAATAATAATGAGAAGTATTTTTTGGTAAAGTTCTGCAAGGATGAACACTCCAAAGCGTATGCCACTCTGCGCCTAGTTGAATATCTAGAACTTGTTGTGTGTATGATACCTCATCCTAACAACCACGGCACAAACTTCTGACGTGCTGTGATGTCATCCATCATATGTTACAATTTGCAATTACATATCATATAACCTGTTACCAATGAGTTACCAATGCACAGCTAGTGAACTCTAGAATACATCTACTTATTTTATACTAAATATGCAAGTTATAGTAATCATCTCACACAAATAAGAAATAGAAAAACATTATTTTCGAACTTTTAAACTGCTATCAGAAGAAGGGGGATTCTAGAATGAGATTGAATTGTCTTCTTTTAATGGCCTGATCTCAACAAAAAAGCAAAAAGGACAAAACACCTCACATGGAAAAAATATACATGAAAAAGTGTAATAAATCATGCCAGGGGCTTCATTTTATTTTAGTTTCCTCAAGCATGAGTAATAAGATAAGGTAAAAAGTGGAAAGACAAAATTCTAAATAAACATAGCTTTTTGTTCTTTTGATGGTCTGGGGGAATACTGTAATTTTTTTTGGGGGGGAGGGGGGTTAAAAACCCCATAGGATATTTCATACATAATTTTATAGCCTATCCAAAGGTACTACCTGGTTTTAAATTAAATAAAGACACACTGTTTTATCCTGCTACAAATGAGCAAAAATTATCTTGCAAAACTGCAGGTTAACATGTTTTCTCCTTTTTTATCTTCAGAGAAGGTAGGGACAAATAATTCCAATTTTCTGCTAGTAGAATACCTGGTCTAGGAATTTTGTTTTCATAATATATTCTAAAGGAGAATACTCTTTTTTTACAACTGCAAATCAGGACTATTCATAGCATCTTTTATACACAATTCATCAAAACCTTATTTCTCACATATTAATATTTCTATAGCAATTTCCCCATCAACATAACATTAACACTGGCTGCAGCAACGACAAAAACTTGAATCTTAACACTCAGATATAATGAAGCAAAACATCTTACCTTGAGTTCTCGAGTGTAATCTTAGTATTACATCCTATCACAGAATTGAACTTTGAAGTGAAGACTCAGCACTGCAGACTTCTTTGAGCACCATGTCATTTTTCTCGAGATCGTGGATCCTGCAATAATTTGTAAGTATTCATAAACACAAAAAAACTAACAAAAAACAATACTGTTATGACTCAATGCTCAAAGGGTCTTTAATTGTTTAATCTTGTCGCTTGTAAGAATTCTGGTTTCGTAACGACACAGGTGGGAGGAAAAAAGGTTTGTAATGGATGCAAAATATGAACTGTTCTGACACTCCACTGGTGTCATTAGAATATTTATATTTAAGCAGTAATGAGTTAGGAAGGAAATTTTTACCCATGTACTCTTTGCCTTAACTCTATGTAGACCAGTAAGTTTCAGATCTTAAACTAGTAACAATAGATACAAATACGCTTCTTTGTCCAGAAGCTGCTGACACCACTAAAACAATTTATTTTGTTATAGAACTGTAAGATAGTTGTACTTCCTGTTAATCCTTGACATATACAAGTTTATGCTTTTTTTCTTTTCCTCTGCCTATACTCTCCTGTCAAAACTTCTCACCTTTCGTCACCCATAAAAACTTAATTAATCTGCATGTTGTTTTAACATTACAGCAATTAATATATCTTAAGCCCGAAGAAGAGGATAATCTGTATATTCTGTTCAGTAAATGTTTACACCTTTTGTCTGAAATGACCATTAAAAAGTTAAAATTGTATTCATTGGTTGTTCGAGTAATCATAAGTTATAAACTCTATAGGCTGATATTATTCTTTAATTCTTCTCCGACTGCAAATTCAGGATAAGGTGGGAGGAAAAAAGGTTTGTAATGGATGCAAAATATGAACTGTTCTGACACTCCACTGGTGTCATTAGAATATTTATATTTAAGCAGTAATGAGTTAGGAAGGAAATTTTTACCCATGTACTCTTTGCCTTAACTCTATGTAGACCAGTAAGTTTCAGATCTTAAACTAGTAACAATAGATACAAATACGCTTCTTTGTCCAGAAGCTGCTGACACCACTAAAACAATTTATTTTGTTATAGAACTGTAAGATAGTTGTACTTCCTGTTAATCCTTGACATATACAAGTTTATGCTTTTTTTCTTTTCCTCTGCCTATACTCTCCTGTCAAAACTTCTCACCTTTCGTCACCCATAAAAACTTAATTAATCTGCATGTTGTTTTAACATTACAGCAATTAATATATCTTAAGCCCGAAGAAGAGGATAATCTGTATATTCTGTTCAGTAAATGTTTACACCTTTTGTCTGAAATGACCATTAAAAAGTTAAAATTGTATTCATTGGTTGTTCGAGTAATCATAAGTTATAAACTCTATAGGCTGATATTATTCTTTAATTCTTCTCCGACTGCAAATTCAGGATATTTTAAATTTTGCTTCATAATGCCCCTATGGTGCATGTAAAAATGTACAGACAAGAAAAACTACACAAACTAATATTAATTATAGTCTAAGAGCACAGTCTATGAGAACTGCCTCATTTTCACTTAATCTTTATCTGTATAATGGAAAAAAAAAGAAAAAAAAATCTGGCAAAATAACTAAACCTACAGTACTTCATCTACTCCCTTATCTCAGCAGATCAAATAGCTTCTGCACTGGTAATAAATCAACAAAAGACAACATTTCCCTTACAAAGTGAACTATAGATGCAACACCTGGAAAATAATCTTATCAGGAGCAAGACAACCCCTAAGATCCTTTGGAAAGTCCATGAGAAAGAAATAATGAAAGCTTTGTAATCTTTTTTTGGGTCAATATGTAGAGGAGGGTAGTGGGTTACTTTCAAAACAATTTTGATATTTTTTGCATGAAATCCACTGCTTTCAACGATTCTAGGCATTGTTTCTTGTGCAAATGAATCGTTGAGGAGATATGATCACCATCTCCATCTCCATTCTTGATTTGATAGTCCCGATAGTTGGGGAGGGCATGAAGCATATCTGGGAAATTATGGGGTAAAACAGGAACCCCGTGGTTGTTGAACAAAACGTCCTAACCTAACACCGTGGTAATATATACGCCTAGCCAGAGGGCTACGCCCCCTGGACCCCCGTGGTAATACATATGCCTAGCCAGTGGACCCCCGTGGTAGTATATGCGTCTAGAATTCACCCTCGCAATGTATCAAGATGAGCGACTTAGCCAAAATTGGGGGGTCTTCTTTTCTTTTACGTATAGCACTTTTACATATGGGGAAGCATTTGCACACCCATTGCCATAGAATAACTTGGTCTTGGTTTGTATTGTTCTATCATTTCATGTGGGTTTTATTACCCAGCTCTGCCACTACCTTATACTACATATTGTCCCTTTTTTGTAGCTAACATGCAACAAAATCAATCTTACAATTATCGAAATCATTTCAAAAGCAAGAAGATATCTAATCTCACCCGATATGAACACGTCCGAGACTGTTCAATGTTGAGAACATTTTCTTTCACGATGTTCATGAACAAATCATAGAAAACGGCATTGGCGTCTTTAAAATCTGATTAGGAGGATACTAATGTAAGGAAAAAAATAATCAATGCTCTATACGTTTTAAAATGAGCCAACTAAATTGACCACTAAAGGTGTTAGGAGTTTAATATTTTTTCACAGGTTCTGACCCTGTAATTTCCATCCTACTGAACTGTAGCATTTCCGCAGCTTGCAACATGCAGTGGGTGTGCACTCAGTGGTACTTTCCTTAGATAAGGGGGAGGGGAGGTCACCACATTGCATTAGCTGGTTGTCAAGCAAAACATCTGTCCATTCACGATAGTACCGGTAATACAGACTACCGAAAGACAGAAAGGTCTGTGAAACACTGAAACAAATGTGAAAAACAACACAAATACCTACTATTACCTTACTCAAAAATAACCCCATAACATGGTCTGGAATACATTTATTCGTTCGTGTTACTTGGAGGCAAGCACTGAATATCTACATAAGAGGAGAATATGGAGAAATATTTCAACACTACAATAGTTTCTGCTCATTAACATATTTGTCACCAAAGCCCATTTTCACCGGTATTAATGACATTATACCCTCATTAACCAAAACTACACAGGACGACAAATATGACCTTAAGTATATAAACTGTAGCATGCTGTTGATAAAATATTTGAGGATCCCGATTACTGGAATCTGATAATTTCACCAACTAGAGGCAGGCATATTGATATTCGAGATGTTGCCGAGCATTGCTATATCCTATGCTAGTGCTTCGACATTGGTTTCAAAAATGCTTAAATTGATGAATAAAAGACTGTACTTGATAACGGAAATAAGAGAGTATGGGCCACTGGTTTCCAGGCCAGCAAGCATTGTGTATTTCATATTCAAAGTAGTTGTCAATTAAATGTATATGCAATTCCACAGGATGCAGTAGAAAAATAAAAATATTGGTCTGTTTATACTACTATAGTTTATTCTTCAGATATAACCCTCTTTGCCTAAGAACCTACAGCGTATATATTTTACTTTTCTCTTTTTGGGTGACTCAGACTGTCTAAAAGGTAATACATTATAATGTAGAATTACATCCGTTGACACCAACATTCATTGTAACTTTTTTTTTTTTAAATTATGACTGATTACAAGTACAAAAATGATACTGTGGGTTTTTGTTGTCCAACAACATCCTAAACACTTCCTAACATGTGAAATGGTCAGATGACAACACTAAAATCATTTCTCTTCCCAACCCCATCCCTCTTCAGTTAAGTTAAGCAAAACCTAATGCAACTTCCATTCTTCATATGAAGAGCAAAGTATGGAATGAGTAAAGAATGTTGATTGAATCTGAAGTGAAGAGTGTATATAAAAAATACAGGTTGCTGAGTAATAGGTAATTTTTCTATTTTAATTGAAGCTCCCACAATGTCTTCCTTGAAAAAAAAAAAAAAAACAGCATATTAAGTACTTTAATGGGTTTATATTGACTTTTTACGTGAAATTAAGATTTTTTTTTTTTTTCAAAATTTTGTATGTCAGTACAAACTTTGATGATATCGTGTTTTGTAGCGACCATGATACAAGGGAAAATGTACCAAAAGTTAGGGGTTCGGGATGCTACAAAAAAAGCCTTTTCAAATATGAAAAATATTGGTGTATTTCCTTTTGTATTACTTCATTTATCATTTTATTGATTTTCTTATTCACTCATCTGTTAATTTTTTTATTATTATTTCAGTTTACTTAAAAAAAAACTAAAACTTTTAGAAAGTACCTCGTTACTTCCCAGAAATTATTTCATTCCCCCTAGTTTGACAACCATTACTAACACGATTTTATGAAAAGATATTGGCGATATACTTTTTGATAACCTCTCGTTACAGTTACATCGGCAAGAAGTAGTTTTGGATTCAGTAGGTTTCATTCTCAGATTATGAATTAAAAAGGAAAAAAATAATCAATGCTCTATACGTTTTAAAAAGAGCCAACTAAATTGACCACTAAAGGTGTTAGGAGTTTAATATTTTTTCACAGGTTCTGACCCTGTAATTTCCATCCTACTGAACTGTAGCATTTCCGCAGCTTGCAACATGTAGTGGGTGTGCACTCAGTGGTACTTTCCTTAGATATGGGGGAGGGGAGGTCACCACATTGCATTAGCTGGTTGTCAAGCAAAACATCTGCCCATTCACGATAGTACCAGTAATACAGACTACCGAAAGACACAGAGGTCTGTGAAACACTGAAACAAATGTGAGAAACAACACAAATACCTACTATTGCCTTACTCAAAAATAACCCCATAACATGGTCTGGAATACATTTATTCGTTCGTGTTACTTGGAGGCAAGCACTGAATATCTACATAAGAGGAGAATATGGAGAAATATTTCAACACTACAATAGTTTCTGCTCATTAACATATTTGTCAGCAAAGCCCATTTTCACCGGTACTAATGACATTATACCCTCATTAACCAAAACTACACAGGACGACAAATATGACAAATATTGTAAACTGTAGCATGCTGTTGATAAAATATTTGAGGATCCCGATTACTGGAATCTGATAATTTCACCAACTAGAGGCAGGCATATTGCTATTCGAGATGTTGCCGAGCATTGCTATATCCTATGCTAGTGCTTCGACATTGGTTTCAAAAATGCTTAAATTGATGAATAAAAGACTGTACTTGATAACGGAAATATGAGAGTATGGGCCACTGGTTTCCAGGCCAGCAAGCATTGTGTATTTCATATTCAAAGTAGTTGTCAATTAAATGTATATACAATTCCATAGGATGCAGTAGAAAAAAAATATATATATTGGTCTGTTTATACTACTATAGTTTATTCTTCAGATATAACCCTCTTTGCCTAAGAACCTACAGCGTATATATTTTACTTTTCTCTTTTTGGGTGACTCAGACTGTCTAAAAGGTAATACATTATAATGTAGAATTACATCCAGTTGACACCAACATTCATTGTAACTTTTTTTTTTTTAATTATGACTGATTACAAGTACAAAAATGATACTGTGGGTTTATGTTGTCCAACAACATCCTAAACACTTCCTAACATGTGAAATGGTCAGATGACAACACTAAAATCATTTCTCTTCCCAACCCCATCCCTCTTCAGTTAAGTTAAGCAAAACCTGATGTAACTTGCATTCTTCATATGAAGAGCAAAGTATGGAATGAGTAAAGAATGTTGACTGAATCTGAAGTGAAGAGTGGTGTATATAAAAAATACATGTTGCTGAGTAATCAGGTAATTTTTCTATTTTATTTGAAGCTCCCACAATGTCTTCCTTGAAAAAAAAAACAGCATATTAAGTACTTTAATGGGTTTATATTGACTTTTTACGTGAAATTAAGATTTTTTTTCTCCAAAATTTTGTATGTCAGTACAAACTTTGATGATATCGTGTTTTGTAGCGACCATGATACAAGGGAAAATGTACCAAAAGTTAGGGGTTCGGGATGCTACAAAAAAAGCCTTTTCAAATATGAAAAATATTGGTGTATTTCCTTTTGTATTACTTCATTTATCATTTTATTGATTTTCTTATTCACTCATCTGTTCATTTTTTATTATTATTTCAGTTTACTTAAAAAAAAACTATAACTTTTAGAAAGTACCTCGTTACTTCCCAGAAATTATTTCATTCCCCCTAGTTTGACAATCATTACTAACACGATTTTATTAAAAGATATTGGCGATATACTTTTTGATAACCTCTCGTTACAGCTACATCGGCAAGAAGTAGTTTTGGATTCAGTAGGTTTAATTCTCAGATTATGAATTAAAAAGGAAAAATAATAAAGTACCTAACGTTTCTGGATTAACTTCAAACTAAACATTATCGATAACTATATCATATCAAATCGCATGGAAATAGTACTCTAAATTTTAAACACTTTGAGGAGGGCTCATGAGTGTCGAAAACTGACCCTGAGGATTGAATTATTGTTTACTAAACGTAAGAAGGTCTAGTTGCATGTGATATCACCACTCCATGGCAGATTCATATGAGTGCAGATGGTACCTGCCAAGAGTTGAGTTCCAGCAGTCTGGTAATTAGTCGCCCCATGATGGCAGTTACGGAGTTATATATAACTCCATTCCACTACTCTTGCAAAGCCTAGTCATAAGACAGACAGACTTTGGCAAATGACTACTCCCAGACTTTACACTTGGACAATCACAGGAGCAGGGCCAGCAATTTACGAAAGGTTATAGACACACGAAGTTTAGAGCAGGTCTGGAGGTGTTTAACGCCTTTTTGAGGTGTGGACAACAGTAATACAATATTATTAATATTTACTATAAAACAGCATATATTGTCCAACGTTTATTGAGCCATTCCTCCATTTTTACTGCAATGTTACGTTCGAGAAATGCAAATGGCGCAGCATACCTTCTCAGCTTTACAGTGGCAAAAAAATGTAGAAATTACAATGCCCAAAGTTCAGATATATATATAGTATGTAATTATATGATAATCGTATGTGATTCGTTCCTATATATATGTATTTATATATCTATGTCTATCTATCCACGCGCACTCTCTCTCTCTCTCTGCCTCTCTACATATATAAATATATATATATATATATATATATATATATATATATATATATATATATATATTTACATGTGTATATACATACATACATACATACATAAACACACATCTATATATATATATATACATGTTTATACACAAATACGCACGTGTTTGTGTATCGTATATATACACACACGTATACACACGCATGTGTTTCTGTATGGGTCTATAAATTAATAGATATATTTACATAAGTATGTGAGTATAAAAATATGTATATATATACATACATTTGTTTGAATGTTTATATATATTTTCATACACATATTATATATATGTATACATGTAAATTTACATATATATATATATATATATATATATATATATATATATATATATATATATATATATATATAATGCAGATCTATGATAGTTCACTAAAAACAAAAGACTGAGGAATGCCAGATTTCACATACCTGTTTATCGAACGAAGTAAATAAGATTAAAAAAGGGATTAAAACAAACTGAATTCACTTGGGTGTCTTTAATGAATGTCTACTGAGTATTCATTACATATCTGTGAACCTTAGCCGACACATTGCATTCAGTAATCTCATATGGTAATGCTGCTTTAAAAAATATATATCAATCATATATATATCTATATGTATATATGTATGTATATGTATATATATATATATATATATATATATATATATATATATATATATATATATATGTTTGTATAAATAAATACAATATACATATATATGCAATATATATATTATACATATATACACACATATATGTACATAGATACATATATATATATACATATACATATATATATATATATATATATATATATATATATATATATATATATATATATATATATATATATATATCCTGTCCTCTTTACATATTAATACCTAACCACAAATTCTTGAAAAAATGAACACTGGAAAAAGTCGGAAGATCAGCATACAAGAAGTTATACAGAAGGAGAAATATGAATATCTTGTCCAGTTAGCCTCCTTACTAATAACCCTGGCTCCATTTTGCTTGATTTACGGGATGTGAACATAAGCACAGATTACAAATAAAATGGCACTCTAAAAATCGTTGATGCTTGTCACTTTGCTAGCCTCCCCTCAAAAGAAACGGTGCTTTAAAGGGATTCCTTCAAAAGCTTTTGGTCAAAGATGAAGTCCACCATGGCCCTGCCCTCGGGTTGGTCGTGGCCATGCAGCAGGTTTTTGTATTCCTGGATGGCGCCTTGAAGCTTACGGATGCCTTCGTGCTGCTCGTCTAGGATGGGGTTGGTGAACACGTCGGCTCCATGGTAGTCGTGCTCGCATTCCTTGACGACGTGGTGAATCTGGTTTGTAACCTGTAAAATGGTCTTCATGAAAGTAACGTGCAAATCATAAAATATTTAAAGAGATATTATCTAAATTTGGCCTTTAAAAGGAGATACAACTACAAATGGTAACTGAGGCTTCAATTGACACATTTTTTTTTTTTACAATCAACACGTCGAATATATGAATTATAATGCAATTTGTAAACCCAAAATTTCTTACAGTCATCTCCATCGTGAGAGCCGCTTCGAGCGCCAAAAGCAGGGTAATGGATTCTTTTTTATATTCACCTGCGATCTGAAAAAGGACCATCATGTTATTTATAACAGCTCCGCTACGGGTACGAAATATTTATTTTATTGAAAATGTTCTGCTGCATCATTATACGAAGTATAAATTCATATCACCACACCCAATTTTTCTCCCTAAGTTCCCTGAAGTTCAGATCTTACACTGCTCTCATTAAATGCAAAATTGAGATCTTGTGAAATAGGGACACCTCGCTTGTTGAGATAGTCAAGCATAAGGATGGCATGGCTCCTCTCCTCCGATGCGGATTCTAGCATAAACTTGGCCATACCAGGTCTGGCTACGGTGTCCTGGGCAAAGTAGGCTCCCTGGAACATAGATCTCTGTGTCATAAACTGGATGCGACAGCATATCCTTGTGCAATCCAATACTTACAAGTCTGTCGTGTGTTTTATCATCAGAGAAACTTCATTATATATATATATATATTTTTTTTTTGCATAAACATCACTACAATATGTATCATTAATTACAATAACCTTCTTTCCAGGGAATGTATTTCTTATTCAGTTCATTTATATAATCGGTGCATTAGACCAAGAATTCTAATGAACAGAACCGTTCATATACTTACCATATGCATGTATGAGAAGGCAGCCTCAAACTCATTTTTGATATGACTCTTGATAGCTTTAGTGCACTTTTCGATGTAGCACACCTCTTTGGGAAAACCTAAGGAGAGAAAAATATTTTGAAAGGACTGTAATAACACAAAGAAATATGCAAGGTGAAAACTGCGATCAAAACTAAATATACTTAATAATCCCTCAAAACAGTGCGACAGATGATTATAAACTAAAACAAAAATATGAAATGACTGAACCATGAAAGGTTTTCTAAAATCTTACCCGTTGAATCTCCATTGGTGCCGTCACAATGAAAGTTGGCTTCCAAGGTAGCAGCACAGCCTGCGGGGAAAAATACAAAATCATAAGGAATATATATCCTTTCTTCTACTGTTTGGCCTGCTAATTGTAAACGGCATTCTTTATATACAGATAAAACATAAATGGCCATTGCTATGCCGTGTGCAAACTACATTTCCTGGCTCGAAACTCCGAACATAAATTTACCTATTTAAGAAAATAAGATTTCTTAAATGTATCTACATGCGTATATTACTAAAAAAAATAACTAGTCTACCATATTTTATTATTACTATGAAAATAACAAGTCATATTCATCATATCTACTAAATATCTAATTTAGATAATACTATACGTAAAGTAAAACTATTTCATGATCGCCTATGTTAGTAATATACATAACAGAATTCACACAAGTAAAGTCAAGGACACGGTCAAGAACGAGTGACATGTCAACTAATTAGTTTCAAAGCCTGTTGTGACAGGTCACAAGTATCATTAGTTTCTATTTATTAACTTAGTGTTTGGGGTAATGGGAGAGAGACAAAACACGAGTGGAAAGTATAATAAAATATATATAAAGTAAGTTTATTTACCACCCTTTTCTAAGAATGGCGTGTTAATTCCGCAGACTTTTAATCATTAGGCCACATGATGGACAACTAGAGTAATTAACTAGATTCCCATGTATTCACATAAAAAGGGCTAAAGGTATTTTTTCACATTGCGACGATTTTTGGTATCGATGGGTCCCTTTCATCCTATCGTAGCCTACACATATATAGAAGAATTATGCCGCGGAGCCCACCCTATCCCGACATTCTTAACCCCGATAGCAGGGATGGGTATGAAAGCTACCAGGGAAATTGCAGGTTGAAATAAGAATAACATGCACTGAATCAGTCACTGCGACCCCCCAACCCCCGCCAAGAAAAACAAAGCCGTGAATACCTGGAGGAGTGTTTTCCTGGGTGGGGGTTAAGGGACACAGCCCCCTGCATAAGGCAATGTAGTGACTGATTGTATGTATATTATTCACATTCTACCTCGCAATTTCTCTGGTGCCTTTAATGCCCTCCCCTGCTAGAAAATGTTGTCGCTAACGGGAGGGGGGGGGGGCCGCGGCATAATTTCGATATATTTGCATAGAAGAGAGTGAGAGGAATCCATCGATACCAAATTCATCGCGATCGGTTATGAGAGGGTATTCTGAAAATTTACCAAGTCTAAACAACAGGCTTGCAACAACAAGGTCTGAAGGGGATGGGCAGCACACTGCCTCACCTTGCAAGTTGGTGCCATTACAGGGATGTCCAACCACCCACAACCCGTACTCTGTGGAGAACCCTATACGTTGTCCTTCAGTTCCTCGCAAAGTAAACTCACCCACTCAATCTCTTTCTTTCTTTCTTTCTGTATGCATCTCTCTCTCTCTCTCTCTCTCTCTCTCTCTCTCTCTCTCTCTCTCTCTCTCTCTCTCTCTCTCTCTCTCTCTCTCTCTCTCTCTCTCTCTCTCTCCACTATGAAGCTAATTCAAAATCTTCAAATTATGAAAAATTGACTGCATATCAGGCACACACGATATTCCAATAAACATTTAATCAGCATAAACTCCGTAAGTAAATCAGTAAAGTATAAAAAGGAAATCCAGGAAAGGCAAACTGGGGAAATTTTAAAAACTTACCAAGAATGAGCACAGTAGCCAGAAGAAAGCGTGCCATGGTGGTTCCTATGAAGTGATTCTCGAGCGTTGACAGATCAGGGGTCTTTCGAGGTCTTTTTACTCCTGAAGGGCTGGTCCTGCTTTGGCGGACGTCAGGGCGTCTCTCTAATCAGCGTCTGACTTACGGTGCTCCAGATGTAGTGGCTGATGATAAGGTCAGGTCAGCGAACGTGAAACGGAGATAAGAGAGACAGTGATAATCAACTTTGGTATACGAATCGTCGGGATAGCTACGGCACTACACTGAATGCGCGATAGCTTTTCTCGGACGATGGACGAGATGTACTGAAGGGGCGGCCGCGTCAGGGACCCTCTGCCAGGCTCGGGCTGCCAGGCCACCACGGTGAGGCGCCGCGATACACAACTCTTCGGTTTGCGCACACGCGCACTTCCACGTTATTCAGTCTCTATGCACGTGATATGTAAACGTTTCACGTGAATATGTATTGCTAATCAGTCACTTTAAAGGTGACAGCCTTCATGAAATATAATTTTGTGTAACTACTCCATTGTTTATGCTTACGAGTGCTTATGTTCATCTACAGTTTGCATATCTTGTATGATTGTATAGCCTGTGACTCAAGTACCTAAATGAGGTTGTACTTTGTTTACCTATTTTGGATTTGCTCTGAGAAGTTGCATGCAAATAAGATTATTCACTTTCTATTTTAAGAAAATCCCAATTCAGAAAAGTGAAGTCTCCCCTCAAAAACAAATATTCATGACTCGCAAGGCACATCTGATCCTTGTACCCTGACCTCAATACTAACGAAGGGACTTTGTAAATTGGTATCTTCATGAGACCTTCATCTGTAATCAGTATACATACCAACCTCCTACAGCCCCGAAACCATTTATTTATCCTATGACCTTGTATCCTCAATAATACAATCCTTTGTTTCGGATCTGTATTGCCAGGGCCGGATTTAGACTTGGCGAGGCCCTTAGCTTTATGAAGCTTGGGGGCTCATGTAAAGTATGAAAATAAGGGTCTTGTAAAACTTGAAAATATTATCATTTATTCAATATCTTAAACAAAGGGGTGATGCATATGAATGCAATATACAATAAATTCTGAAAGGCCTTTAAAACACTGAAGACCCCACGAAATGCGAGGCCCTAAACTATAGCTTTTTTAGCTTATGCATAAATCCGGCCCTTGGGACTTCCCTTCCTTTTCTAAGATTTCGTTCTATCATTATGACCTTCTGCTCTTGCTCTGGGCATCCCAGTGAATCATGGTTCATGGTTGCCCAACAATGATGAGTTGGCAGATCTTACTTGTTAAGTGTTAAAATGAAGGATACACTGTGATGTTGTTATAGGCACAATGAGGTAATGTACGTTCTTCAAGTTACATACTGGTTTACGGTCACAGTATTATCTTACAAGGAGAGAGAAAGAGAGAGAGATTTTTTACTTTGATTTTGTGTTCCTTAAATCATTTTAAAAGTATAAGATACCATAATTTATCCAGAGAGAGAGAGAGAGAGAGAGAGAGAGAGAGAGAGAGAGAGAGAGAGAGAGAGAGAGAGAGAGAGAGAGAGAGAGAGAGAGAGAGAGAGGACAAGTACTCAGGTCTGATCTTTAGTCTCATGAATGGAAACGAGCCTGGGGGTATGACATCAGTAAGAACAAGAGCGGGAGAATCTGGCCTGGCAACAACCCTGTCTCACTGCGTGTCTGTAGCTCCGTCTTATACACGAAATCGTCTTTGACAAGGACAAAGCCGACAGTGAATATGATAACATGATCGATAGTAACTGTGAGGATGATAGCGCTAATGATTAAAGTGGTAATGGCTATAAAATGAATGGCCATGGTGTTTGCCATGTAATAACATGATAAGCAATGAGGATAATAATGATAATAAAATATTTGCAATGATACCAGCAATGCTAGCATTGATAATTACGAAATGAATTACTGGAAATGTAAGACTTTGCTAATTATAACACGATAACCACTCTTCAAGACCTTTTTCTAGCAAAAACATTATTGAAAAAAAACTATTGGCAATGGTAAAAATATCAACTGTATTTCTTAGGCAATATTGAAAATACATTAACGTTGAATCAGTCATCGGCCATACAGCTTATTACTAATTCCCTTTATACACAGAACTTCATGAACTGCAAATTTAAGCCTGGTCTTTGTCAAAAGAGGGGAAGCAGAGGGAGCGAGCTGCTGCATCGGTCGCTCGCCAACCTTACTGCGTAGTTGGTAGAGACCTCGTTACAAAGATCCCCGCCTCTAATTGCTCATTCCTGTGAACGTGTGGTGAACTTTGATGTAGATTCTCGTGTGGAATTTGAGAAAGTTGTTTCGAATGCTGGGATTACATGTAGTCGGGCGTCGGGTCTGGAAAATTTGTGTATTTTTAAGTATTACTGATTTTGAACAACTACGAGTGTGTTCTATTAACGTTTTCAAGTGGAAAGCTGCTTTTGTACATCGTCTATGTTGAATATATTGACATATAATGAGTCTTTCCTATTCGACATTTGTTATCCTGAGCTGATGTATAAGCGCTGTCGATCTTTGGATCAATACAACAGGAACTACCAGTGTCCCGCACAACACAGGATCTCGTATACACTCGTACCCAAGTATCCAGTTTCTGAGTGTTAGAATGGAAGCTTGTCCCTCCGCACAGAATAAGTTCATGGCTACAAATACATAAGCAGGAAGGTCCCCATCACGCTCTTCCCGTGACAGAAAAGGTCGAAAGTCCTCCTCTAAAATCATTTACAACAGACCTTCCTATCGGCCCTGGCCTTGCCATTCAAGTCTATCCTCTCTCCACTGTCCGGTCCATGAATCCAATTTGTGGGAGATGAAGATTACGCAATGGCACTTTCTTTATCTGAAAAACCTAGTTATAGCCAGAAATACTGTTCTGCTCTTCATTCCTTGCCATTGTATTTCTGTAATAGATATTTATTAATATTGGCGTCTGTAAGAATACTTAGGAAGGTAAAGGACTTACTTTAAAGTATTTTGCCTTCAAGTGTAATATAGTAATTGGTATAATATAGATGATTATATTTCGTTTATGAACAGACCTCTATGAAAGTAGCTTAATTTTTTGTTTCACTGCGAAAACGACGGTGTTGTGAAAACCTTATCATTACCAATGTTCATTTTATCGACTTTCAACAGAATGATTGTATCTCTCAAAGCTGTATTTCATCACATGTCCGTAAGATATATCAGCCACTGAAAAAAAATAGATGAAATATTAAGAGCCTGTTTAAAACTTAGATGCGAAGTGTTTATTTCTGTTGATGAAATCTCGTGTCGAAATTACCAGTGATAAAAGCACGAGATGAGTCTCTTGAGTCGACAACAAGGTTAGGGTATTACCAGATCTTATAGGCCTAGAACATACAAGCGGCCATGATCTGCGTCATATGCCCACAGGACAATGATCTTGCGCAACCTACAGCCGCCATTAATCACAGGGTTCATAAATTACATATCAATCTTCAGGTGAAGTTGCTTCAATAGCTCTCTTTTTATGATACCGTTTATAATCAACTTGGAGAACTTAGATGATTAGTTGTATGTGTACTCAGTCGACGACAAGGACAATTTTGGGTGAAGACGTAGCACCACAGGCAGAAGGTTCGCGCATGTACGTACCTGGCAAGCCAAACAAAGAAGTGTCAAATATATGATCGTTGTTATGTATGCCAGCCGCATCCCACATCACCGCAGTGGTGGCAATTTTGACCTTATTTAAGTATTTCGCAACTGAATAAACAGTTTACAGGGTCATCATTATTTCGTTGAAGACATCTGACCCGAATTTTCACCACGCGAAAGGTTTCAAGAAAGATTCTGTGAATGTCATATATGGGGAAAATAATATGTATGCGTAGAATGATAATGCTCCGTCGCTTTACAGATTATTTATTTATGCATAAGAAGCATGAAGTGGAACGTTGAAGGCGTCTCAATTTCACTATAACTTCTTTCTTTCCGTACGTATCTGAATGTATCCCTCGAATGCAATCATACCCACGCTATTTAGTTTTTACTATACTCACTGCAAATTACATTTTCCTAAGACCCTTAAAGTACAAACACAAGGTACAAGAGAAAGACACAACGCACATACATAACCGAATTCGCCGTAAGACCTGGAGTAATGCCAGAACCGCCTCCAGAGATTCGAGAATGCCCACAATATATCGCCATATGTTATCTTACACTAGGGGATAATTTCTCTTGGCAGGCGGACTTTCGGAGAAATTTCTAGTCACGGACGCCATCCCAAGGATACAAGTCGAGGCTGACAGAGGAAGTGCTGAGTAGGAACCAACTGCGGATATTTTGCAAGGGAAAGTGCTATCCTCTGTGCATTTTGTCACGTGATTAGGCAGCAGCAGCCATCAGTTTCTGAAGGTGCCAGGGAAGACCGCGAGCCATGTGACAATAAAATAAACATCGTTAAAGAGGTCACTGAACTGAAATAAGGCAGTGCTAGGCTCCAATGGCAGGTATAATTCAGGATACTTTGCGTGGCATGGGTGTGTATAACTACCAACGGAACCGTGAACTAGCGCCATTAGAATACAAAGAATTAGTTGGGAGAAGATGAAAAAGAATATATATGTTCTTAAGTATGATTATAGCACATAATACGTTATAATTCCTTCCATTAAGAATTAATGCACACAACATACATGCACAAAGGTATTGGTAATGAAGTTTGATGGGTGCTTAGCCAAACCACACACACACACACACACACACACACACACACACACACACACACACACACACACACACACACACACACACACACACACATATATATATACTATGAGAAAAGCAGGATGGAACACCCAACGACAACAGAAACTGCGAGGAAATGTTGAAGGTTTCGTATAAAAGAACCAATTTGTATAGTTTGATTTTCCTGACAAATGTTTTATAAAATGGGCAGGCAGTAAGAAAATGCAGTTGCTGAATTATTATGATTGTTAATCGAACATGATCATGTGGTTTTAAAATAGACACTGTTATATATAAACATGCACGCACTCGATGACAAACATACATAAATATAGACCTACATACATTCATATATATATATATATATATATATATATATATATATATATATATATATATATATGTATGTATGTATATATATATATGTATGTATATATATATATATATATATATATATATATATATATATATATATATATGTGTGTGTGTGTGTGTGTGTGTGTGTGTGTACATACATATATGCATACATACACAATAAATATATATATATATATATATATACACATATTATATATATATATATATATATATATATATATATATATATATATATATATATATGAGTGTGTGTGTGTGTGTATCTATCTATCTATCTGTACACACATGCTGTATGTATGTGTATCTATACACATGCACACACACACACACACACACACACACACACACATATATATATATATATATATATATATATATATATATATTATATTATATTATAGAATATTATATACATACATATATATCATATGCAGACACATACATAAATATATACATACATATATTGTTATATAAATACATATATTGTTATGTAAGTACAATTATATGTTTATGTATGTATTTAGTCTTTAAATGGTTTACGACAGCGGCGATGTTGTTAAAGTGCGATTCCTCCAAGGTACGTTTCGAGTTGTTGTTATGCCAAAGTCGAGTAACGTCTTTGTTAGATTCTGAGACGTCATGGCTTGGATGATAGTCAGAGCAGAGGTCTGACCATTCATGTAGATATAGCAAAAAGCCAAATGTTTAGTGTACGGATAGTATCAAAATAGAACTGTAGGTTTAAGAAGCACTGATATATGTTATAATTCGAGTCTAGAAATCATAACATTGTCGTGGGTGGAGTTGTGGCGGTGGTGGGGGCTGTGGCGAGCAGAGTGCGCAGGGCAGAGCGAGAGCAAGAGAGAGGGCGGGGTAGGGGGAGGGGGTGGGGTGCCCAACAGGCCCACGTCCTCGCGGAGCCCAGTCAGTACCTCACAAACTCCGGCTGTGAACGCTGTCGCACACTCAGTGTAGTGTCGCAGTTATCTGGCCGCCGTTAAAATCTGCACCACTAGTAACTTTTTTTTATCGCTGATCTGCCTGATATCGTTCTGAGGGCCTCTTGAACCGAGTCAGCCTCGTTGGGACAGCACGTCGACTTTTACTACATAACCAGCACACCGAGTTCGACTCCTGCCTCACCACCAGCCAACGTCCTTTTGACAACCAAAAAGGTAAGGTTGTGAATTCTGGTTGTTGTGTGAAACGTCAACTTGACCGGGTGGGCTGGTGTTGGGTTCTGATTTTTTTTTGTATAAGAATGGCATATTCAGCTCTTCATCAAAGTGTAATGTTATCTGATAACGCTCCCCTATTGTCGACTAAGTGTCTTCCAGTAAGCTATTATTAGTCATCTTTGACCGATAAAACTTTCGAGATAACTTGATGTCTTACACAGTCAATCACTAAATGACAAACATCCACTTGACTTATCTCTTTTCCCACGGCAGGATCATGAAATTATGATGTAACAGGGGACAATAGTCCTCCCTTTATCAGTCGGGATTCTCCTGAGAAAGACAATGAGAACGTGGGGGTGGAAAGGATAGGGGGTAGGGGTTAGGTGATGTCCTCCGATACCAATTATTAGGTATTGAATCAACTGTGGTAGAAAGAGATAAAATTAAATTTCCTGAATGTAGATATTGAGAATATAATTAAAGTGATAGATTTACCAGATGGTGCAATTGGGGAGATGCAAGTGAATTAAAGAAACTATCGACTGATGATGATGAATAATACTAGTACACACACAAAAGGAAAACGAAATATTTGCACGAAAAGGAAATCCCTGTGCATCCCAAGATCAAAGACTTTGATTAATTGGAACTTACCACCGACACTAAGGGCGTAGGGCGAGAGATGGGGACAAAAAAAGAGGGGAGAGATATGGGACAAAAGAGGGGAGAAGAATAAGGACAGATAACTAGTCTAGGTGCCCGGGTATCGCGCTTCACCTGATAGTGGTGAGGCTTCTACCGCGGGCCCTTGATTTCTTCTTTGTCAGAAGAGACTGGCAGTCAGTGAGAGGAGACAGGTTCCAAGGTGCGTGTCTTTGCCACCCACATATGCGTACATACATACATACATACATACTTACATAAATACATACATACGTATATATATAAATATATATGTATATGTATATATATATATATATATATATATATATATATATATACATACATATATATATATATATATATATATATATATATATATATATATATGTATATATATATATATATATACATACATATATATATATATATATATATATATATATATATATATATATATATATATATATATATATATGTATATATATACATACATACATACATACATACATATATATATACATATATATATATATATATATATATATATATATATATATATATATATATATTTGCACACACACACACACACACACACACACACACACACACACACACACACACACACACACACACACACACACACACACACACACACACACACACACGCTCACACGCTCACACTCACACACACACACGCTCACACTCACACACACACACACTCACACACACACACACACACACACACACACACACACACACATACACACACACACACACACACACACACACACACACACACACACACACACACACACACACACACACACACACACATATTTCCAGGTTAATCTACAGGAGAACTTTTTTTCCCTCTGTATCAGATGCGATTCCCCATGATGAAGCTCTTCGTGGTCCTGTTAGTGGCTGTTGCGGCTGCCAGTGGCACTACCCTAAATCCACAAGGTAAGAATACGGTGTACAGTATTCGGTAAATGTTTTACGAGTGGAAGGCTGTATCATCTGTATATATATGTTTTTACGTGTATGTGTATTGGAACTTTTTAAAATCGTGGTTCCAAATACGCACATATTTGTATTATCATCTTTATGTGAATCATATGTAAACTCATATTTGCAGGGACTAATCTTGCCCATGTATTTGTTTAATTTCCAGCATCTAGTTCTGAAGTTTCAGGAAAGTTTTTAGAAATTATGAACAATCACTTCAGCGATTCTCTAAAATACCTCTATACAGTGAGTATGAATTTTATCTTTATACTTGTTCTTTGTGATATTTCAATTGTCGTGGACTTTCGCGCAATTAGTCGAAAATACGATTCGAAGGACTGTTTTTAAAGAATAAGTTTAGTCCTGTTGTAAATATGGTTGGACTAAATAGCCGCCATCTTGTTTCTTCAGAGCAAGCAGTATGATAGCCAGTACATGCAGCGCCCTGGTATGGCCAAATACCTGATGGAAGCCAGCGACTTTGAGTGGGAACAAGGGCTTGACTTCCTTAAGAAATACATGCAGAGACAAGGAAACATCGCGGATTTCAGGGATAAACTGGTTGTGTCGGGCAAGGTCAGGACAACGGTGGAGTTACACGATATTTTACATGAAATGTGCTAACGGACCAAAATCATAGCATTACTTCAGCACTTGTATCACAAAAGAATGTCTTGGTAGAAAAACCCACAATGTAAAAACTAGATTTATTGAAAATGAGACGACAGTTTCGGAATCCACCTGGATTCCATCCTCAGGTCTGAATA